TTTTCGGAAGACGAGCCACTGTGCATCGTTTAATGTATTGCTTATTAAAATCTATGAAGAGACGGCGGATCTAAACATGGTTAACCAACACTCCGAAAATCACATTTTACCGTTTTACCGTTGCTGGCGTCAAAACAATACTTGTTTTGATATTTTTCAATTTAACATGTAACAAAATTGGAATTAAATACAAAATAAACAAACATTGAATATCCTTTAATCATTTTTTTTAAATATTTGATTGATATTCGCCTAGCTATGAGCATTTAAAAGCAACATATGTTTTCGTTTGTGCATTAACAAACTTTACACCTTTATTTTTACAAGAAACTCTTTTCTGACTTTCGTGGATTGAAAATTTTTAAATTCACCTAAATTCAACTTCATTATTTTTTGTTGTTGTTAATGAAGTTAGTTATCTTTGGTGGTCAAAACAAATAGATATCCTACGTTGGTGCTACAGGACACTCTCCAACAGAGCCAAAAGCGCCAATGAGTAGAAGAACTGGGAAGACTGCAAACACAGTCTGGCCACATACAAAAAATAAACAAGAAAATCAACAATGACCTCTTGGAAAAAATGTTGCACCGAAATCGAGGAAACGTCTGAAGCAGCAAGACTGCGTTAAATCCTCTCAAAGTCTACCCCTTCAGTGGGGTGCATCAAAAGGAACAATGGTACGTGGACTAACTCCAATGAGGAATCCCTACACATCCTTCTAGACAATAATTTCCCGGGCTCGGGAGCCTCGCAGCCTGGCACACATCCATTCAAAACGGAATATTAGCTGCGCAATAAACAGCTTTGACCCGTATATATATTGTCATTCCGGCCCAACTGCAAAGGGCCGAAGATATGGCAATCGACTGGCTTCAATGTATCTTCATAAATATACTCATAGTGGGGAAAATTCCCCACTTAAGGCTTAAGGCAATTACTATTTATTTTTTCACTTTTGAGGTTTGGTTAACGAATTTTAGCTCCACCGTTTATCCATATATTTTTATGAACAATACCTTAAACGACGCCTAATTAATGCGTCTATCTAACTTTTCCCGAGTATTTAAAGTCAAAATTTCAAAAAAAAATTTGAAATTTTAATTTGAAAACTTAATATCTTCCAGGCGTTAAGCTGCAGATACAAAATGGCTGGGTACGATTTATAGTTCCATTTGGCAGCTTTTCAGAACTGCAAAGTTCTATGCAACCAGATATAAGATACTTAAGTTATGTGAAAAATAAAAGCACTAATTTCAGGTAAAATTAGTTTTGAGTCGTTTTGGTCAAACGGCTGCAAGTTGACCGTTTATCCATAGATTTTCATGAGCAATATCTTAGACGACGCCTAATTAATGCGTCCATCTAATACCAAAAATGTTGGCCAAGAATTATTTTTTTTCAACTTTTTCCCAGTTATTAAAGTCAAAATTTCTAAAAAAAAAAAATACCGCAAAAAATGATGAAATTTGAATTTGAAAGCTTAATTTCTTTCAGGCGTTAATACCAGATTTTAAAAAATTCTTAAAGCCTAGTACTCAGATCAAAAAACTGTTTGCTTGCAAACAGATGTCATATATTTTTCGAGCGACCAGTGGTGTGACCAGAGGTGTGCACTGCATTCCGAGCGGTTACACTGCTCAGACCGCTGCTTGGTTTTGTTTAAAGTTAATGAAATGCACTTCTTTGGCTGGGGCCGCTCTTCCCCAGCCATATCCTGGGCTCCCCAATATTTTATTCGCAAGGTAATGTAATATGACTATCATCAGCAGCAGTTGGCGACGCCTCCCGTTCCGGACACAGTGAAGAAGAGATGTTTTGAAAACAATATATGTTTTATATATATGAAAATTAATAAAAATAATAAATTATAATATCCATATAATTGTCATTCATATAATACTGCATTAATTAGATTATATTTTTCTTCATTATTAAAATATTTCATTTAGTTTTTTGTTCTCTTATTGCAATGTTTGCTTCGTGTTTGCTGGCAAAAGATATAAAATTGATATCTTTTTCGAGGTGGGTCGAAACATACCAGCAATACAAGCAAGTACTTCTGATACTTTTCCAGTGTATACCGACCTTTTTGTTTTTTGATCTGAGTACTGCCTTCCGTATAGAGCCTAGAAAACCGTTTTTGCCGTAAAACATTTCTTATCGGTTTCATACGAATATCAACCCTGATTCTGTTCGCTAGGTGTTTTTTCGATCTGAGTACTAGGCTTTAAAAAAAACTACACCATAAAAAAAAAACCATAATTCGTTTAAAATTGGTAAACCCCGAAATCTATCAGAAAAAGTTATTTTGTGCCACAGCCTAATTCTAGTGTTGACTAGAGTAATTAACAAGAAACTGAACTGGAACCATGAACACCAAAGAAAGAGTGAAAAAGACCACGATTGCCCTCTACACTTGCAAAAAGGCTATTGGCTTAAAATGGGGCATGAAACCATGTATAGTCCAATGGATATATCTAGCAATAGTTAGACCAACACTACTCTACGGAGTCGCAGTGTGGTGGCCAGCTCTATCAAAAAGGACTAACACCAAGCAACTGGGAAAGGTACAGTGAACTGCCGCCCTATGCATCAGTGGAGCTCTCCGTACCACCCCAAATGATGCGCTAAATGCTTTATTATGCCTTCAGAGTCTTGACCTAGCAGGTAAGGAGCAGGCAGAAATGGCAGAAATTCGTCTAAGAGACTCAGACCAATGGGTGTCACAGCACACTGGTCACTCATCCATCTTAAATGGAAAAAATATCGTCCCCACAAAAACGGACTACTGTGTTCCGAGGGAATACACAGACACCTCTTTTGAACTGGCTCGAGGGACCACCTGGCCCAGATGGAGCCATAAAATCTTTACAGACGGCTCTAAGCTGGAAAATAAAGTGGGAGGAGGTATCTACCCCGAGCAACTAAACATAAGGCACTCCTTCAGGCTTCCAGACCACTGCAGTGTCTTTCAGGCAGAAGTCAATGCAATCGGGGAAGCTCTGAACTGCATCCAAACAGTTGCCGTCACGGCAACTCCTCTTAATATCTATAGTGACAGCCAAGCTGCGATCAAATCACTTAATGCGATTACATCCAACTCGGCTATCGTAGCAAACTGACGCAAATCTCTACACGAGATGGATCAGCAATTTGTTTTAAGCCTGATATGGGTCCCAGCTCACCGGGACATTGAAGGCAATTGCTTAGCGGATGAACTGGCCAGATCTGGCACTACAATCCCCATCCTCCAAGAGAAGGAGGATATATGTTTATGCCCATGGCCACGTGCAAGCTTATTATAACGGAGCAATTTAGGCAACTAGCCGACAATATGTGGCAACAAGTACCACGATGTCGCATAACTCGGCCAACTTGGCCGACCATAAATAAGAAGCGCGCTTCGGAGCTGTGTAAGCTCAGCAGGAAAATGTGCAGTACCGCCATACGATCCCTTACGGGACATTGACTAATAGGCACTCACGCAAACAGGCTATGTGCCCCTTATAATGATTTTTGCCGTAGCTATAGAGGTATCAGGTGTCACAACGGGCCGAAACCGGCCTACGTGTGTCGAGCTCACAGCTAGTACTGACAGCCACCCTAACATAACCTAACCTAGCTAGCTTTGTAATATTGTAGTTAATACCACTCGGAAATTTTTTACAACAGACCGTTTTAAAAATGTAGTCCAAACTCTGAAGAACACTACTCGATAAAATCGAACATTTTTTCTGTTTTTCGTCGTCTGCCCTTCTGTCCGACCGTCTTGATGAGCGCTTAGATCTCAGAGACAATAAGAGCAAACAAATTTTGTTTCCAGACTCATGTGATATTACACTGTTAAAAATTTTTAGGTTGTATGCCGCCTGATGGGAATTTTAGGTTTCTCAGGGTATTACTCTTCGGTAGTTGCCTTTTTTTATGCCTTTTTTCTTTATGCTTTTTACATATTCTGGTTTATTTTTAATATAACTAAGCTCAAAAGTAGAGCTCCTTACGATTATTTTTATAAGTTCAATATAAAAGAGGTTTTGCTCTCTATATTTGGAGATTTTCTGCTTTTTATTCGGTTGTTAATATACTTTTTGTGTCAATTTTAAATAAAATATTAAAAAGATACCACAAACTAATTTAACCATATTTTTGCGAAACGATTCGGTAAAAAAAAAACAATAAAATTCGACAACTGCATTTATTATGTTTTATAAACTTAAGTATCCTACGTTTGATTAATCTTTGATACGATAAAGTTTCTTACAAATACTAGGGGAGAAGAAAGAACTAGGAAGAAACAAATAGCTACTTTGGTGTAGGTGCTGTGAGACTAATTAAAAAAAAACGGAGGAAAAAATAAATAAAACATATTATTTTTAAAGTGCGAAAAAATAGGTGTACAAAATGTTGAAAAATGTTAGTGTTTCGTTTTCCTTCCAGTGTTGTAATTTTTGGACGAAAATCTGTGGCAGCCACATCTTTAAAGATACTATAAAACTAAAAACGCAGTATCGTATCGCAGTACCAGATTGCCGAATCTTAATCAGATCGGAATATTATAATAGCCAGAATAAAGAAATTAATTTTCAGGTGCCAAATTTGGTTGCCCTAGCTCTTATAGTCTCTGAGATCTAGGCGCTCAACAAGACAGACAGACGGACAGACAGACATGGCTATATCGACTCGGCTATTGATGCTGATCAAGAATATATATACTTTATGGGGTCGGAAACGTTTCCTTCTCTGCGTTACACACATCCACTTTTACCACAAATCTAATATACCCCTTAACTCTTTTTTGAGTACGGGGATAAAAAGTCGTGTTTTCTTAGATAGACCAACTTTTTATTAGACGGCCCTCCTATTCTAGCATTTATTCAAACAAATTGACACGGAATGTTTGACTCGGCTAATCAACAGTGTTTCAAATGTCTGACCAAACTTTTGATATCCTCTGCAAAGGTATAAGAAGACTATTAAATACGAATATTTCCAAGGCGTGTATAACAAAACTCATTTTATTTATTACAAAAAAGAAAACGATTTTTTGGAACACTTAGGGGTAGAAAGTTTTCTTAAAGCGGTCTTCACGATTCTTACGGCCGCCCGGTCTCACCGCCCGCGGTACATACTCTTTGTCGTGTTTTTCAAGTGTTCGACGCCAAGGGTTTATGTCCAGCTCAAAGAAGCGTCGTTTTGCCTCCATGGCGCGAGTCTTATGGTCTATCTTGTATAACTTCTCCCACAAGTAGATCTCGGGCAGCTGAAGATGACGGGGTCGCTTGGAACACAAATGCTTAAAAGTTTTGTCAATAAAATCGCGCTGGTGCGTATTCTCATAGTCAGAGGTGCGAGCAGTCACATACGGGTGGAGCTCGTTGGCTGCGCGCTCGACCTTTGGGACGTTTGTATACAATCGGAGCAGCTGCTTCAGCGTAGCATCATTGAAGTCCACACACTTTCCCTTTTCTGATATCTCGGCGTAGAGCGGAAGAGGCGGTGTACCTCGACAGCAGTTCACTCGGGGATTTTCGTCTACTTGGTTGCCATGCAGAAGCAACGTGTTTAGTTGGTACTCGTAGAAACTCCATTCTCGACCATTTGTGATCACAGTTTGGGTATTCATAGGGTAAGTGAGATCGTTATATGTATTGAAGCCGTTGTAATTGGCCTGCGCTAATAGCCATGCGTATGAGGACTTTATAGCCAGTGCATTAAGCGCTTCTTGCAAGTCGCAGTCCCCATATGCCTTATGACGCATCTGGAGGAAAGCCCGCGATTGAAACGAGATTAATCCAAAGTTGGCCCCGTTAGCACTGGGCCAATAGCCTGGGACATTGACTGCATGCTGGTACGTGGTTGTGTAGCCCAAAGTACGGGCATCATGGTTAAATCGTGGTAGCTGTCGGGCTAGGTCCATATTTTCACTTTCCCCTTCTGTCATCCACGGGCACAGCTGCTGACGATGACGCAGCGCCAAGTAAGGAGCCCCGGTATATTGGACCAATCTATCGAAGCTTTCACTAGCATCGTCTTTTTGCCAGCCCCGACCTTTTTTTGACTTTTCCACATTTTTTGGAGGATCCACCCCGCCAACTGCCCAGAAGGCCTCGTGGCGTGGATTGTAGTCCACCTCGACATCATTTAGATGCGGATAATCAGCGCTGAGGACCTGCTGTAAGGCTCTGTTAACCTGCTCTACAATAATTTGCGTCAGCTGGAATTCGCGGGAAACAGAATCAGAGGGCACAATGTCGGGTAACGTCGCTTTGTGGCTACATGAAATTTTTGGAAGCTCATATTAGTTTAGAACTGTTTAATATGTTTAACTTACTTATAGAAGTCGTGTGCCAGTTCTAGAGCGTCAATAATATCATTTCGGGCTTTTTTTAGAATATCATCTGAACTTAATTCCGTCTGCTCGTATTCATTGGCAGTTGGTAGTGGCAACTCTTCTAGTACTGTACGCGTGTAATGTTGCGTGACTGGTAATGCGTTGTATGGAATTTTGTTGTCGTTGAAGTCGACCACTTTGTATCCATAATAACGAGGCATATTTACTTTGATGATTTTTTCTTCTACTGTCGCCACTTGACGAATTTCTTCATGCCAATCACTGGCTGCTCTGCGCTTAAGCGCCTTGTATGTGAGATCCCGAATTGGTGGATACTCAGGCTGGGAAGTGTATTCATTATTTGTCCCAGACGATGCTTGGGATTCTGCTTGAGGCTGCGCGGCCATAAATCGTATATACGATGCACGCAACTGATTTACACGACTTAACCTAAGCATGTTTGCAGGCCCTTAAGTTTCTTCTAGAATCTTGTAATTTAATTGTTGCGGCTCGAGGTTATGTTATGACATTGAACAGCGATGTGTTTTAGGTTCGATAGATAAGAATATAGTGATGTGTCTCCACTACACTTCAATTAAGGACTGCGAAACCAGATGTAATGACCTTAAAGACTAGTCCTCAGTTCCGAAATAAATGCAATATATTTTGCTATTGACCGAGTGTGACCAGTCAGCTGTGTTTTTTTTTAAATTTGTTTAAGCATAGTACTCATATCCAAAACATTTTGCTAGCAAAATTTTCCATATACCTTTTTAGCGGCCAGTGGTGTGCCCAGAGTATGCACTGTATTCCGTACGGTTACACTGTTCAGGCAGCTGCTTGGTTTTGTTTAAAGTAAACAAAGTTAATGAAATGCACTTCTTCGGCTGTGGTCGCTCTTTCCCAGGCATATATGTATGTCTGGCTATCAGCAGCAGCAGATGGCGATGTCTCCTGTGCATCCGTCGGCGACAGCCGTGAATAAAACATGTTTTGAAAACAATATTTGTTTTATATTCATAAAAATTAATAAAACTAATAAATTTAAATATGCAAATATTTTCCTTCATATTACTGCATAAATTAGGTTCTATTTGTCTTCATTATTTAAATATTTAATTTGGTTTTTGGTTTTTTGTTCTCATTTTGTGTTGTGTTACGTTTGTGTTTTCTAGAGTACCAAGCGGAAGATAGAACATTGATATCTTTTCGAGCGGCTAGCAAACATACCAACGAATACCAGCATCGGCTGCTTTTCTAGTATCTTTCTGCTTGTTTTTTCTTTGACCTGAGTACTGCCCGCCGTACAGACCCTAAAAAACAGTTTGTGCCCGAAAAAAATTTCTTATCGGCTTAATACGAATCAACCCTGATTCTGTTCGCGAGCTGATTTTTCGGATCTGAGTACTAGGCGTTAACACAGCGTTTATATAGTTACAAAGTTGTTTTATGGCTTCTCACGTAATGAGAACACCCTTTTTGTGTGTTTGATGACAATATGACAAGCAATCGGAAAATATAAATATGAAGACATAAGCTTTTCCACATGGTTATGTGTAATTGCAGTTGCACGGGAGGTGTCACCATCTGCTGCTGTTGATAGCCAGACACATTCCTTTGGCAATAAAATTTTGGGGAGCCTGGGAAAGAGCGACCCCAGCTGAAGAAGAGAATTTCATTAACATTGCTTACTTTAAACAAAATCAAACAGCTGTCTGAGCAGTGTAACCATACGGAATGCAGTGCACTACTGGTCGCTACTGGCCGCTAGAAGAATGACATAATTTTGCTAGCAAACAGTTTTTGGATCTGAGTACTAGGCTTAGTAGAGGAAAGAACAGAACACCGCAGCCGGATGAAATTTTCCTGACATTTATGAAGACACATTGGGATACTTCAGTACATAGCAATTTTAAGATATGAATTGAATGAATGAATGTTGAGCCCACTAAATTCTGCTTCCTCAAGGCTACAAGAAAATAAATCACATCAATTATAAACATTTACCGGAACGCCTAAAAACAACGAGTAAGCTCTTTGGTTGAAAACTTAAAATAGAGTAAAGAACAGGAGCCTGTCTGACTATGTTTAATATATCTAGAACTATATTGTCCCAAAATCGTATACATGATGCATTCCTTAAATTTTGTGTAGTCGGCTGTATGTAACATATCGGCGGATATAAGTGAAACAAAAATTTCAAAGAAAAAGTAGTTTCAAGAATACCATTATTGGGAAAGATATCGTCATTTGTTCAGCGTGCATATGATATAGCTTTTTACCAAAACATTAAACAAATTTAAGTTAGAGCCTTGCTCATATAGAAATCCTGATATTTCCCCTCCCTAACCCCTGTGCCACATTTAATTAAAACATACCACATAATGGTGTACAGGGCCAGGTGGGTTCTTATCTTATCATTCAAAATGGACACGGGTCGACAGTCCAAACTTATCGAAGAAGCGTATATATCTGTAACACATAGTATTGATAAACTAAAAGAGCAACGTCACTTGTGCATAATTAACAGACAAACAAGGAAAACTTAGAGCTATGTCCAACGTACCTATATCCAAAGTGGTCAGGTCATTAAATGAGGAACGAACCCGGGAGTGGCTGGCAGCACAGGCTGCTCCAGATGAGGATGAGGTAGAATCAATTGCCGAATCATCGGTTGTGGACAGCCTGGATTATGAATACAGCGAATACACCCAGGATGATGATGATGATGATGACGAAGACCAAAACACAGCAGAGGAAATCAGTACCATGACATTGGGCACTCCAATCAGTGAGTATATTCTTAAATTAGCAGCATAAATTATGGTACTGCACATTTAAACATATTGGTAATACAATTATCTGACCAGAAATATCATCCAACAGCTGCGACCAAGCGTTCCAAAATTAGTGACACTTTACGAGACCTTATGAACTCTATCAACAGTATTCAAACAGTGGGAAATGTTAACATCAGTAATTCCACAAATGTACATATTGGTAATGTGACCAACATCAATGGCAACATACAGATAATAGCAAACAGCTTGAGTCGAGCTCGACACGAGCGTCGAAAAACTTCGCTCACAGAGGTTCCAGCTCCAGACATTGAACCAAACAATAACAATAACAGCGAAGACGAAACGGAAGAGCGAGTTTGCTCAGATGTTTTCATCAATAGTCAAAGTAAACTTTGTTTTCAGGTTCTACAGTTTAGCGTAGTTACATATGTATATTATTTTCAGAGTTCAAAATACCAAAGGAGCTGTGTTCCATTATTCCCCGACATTCCTGGCTGGCCCAAACTCCCATGGAAAAGCCAGAAGTACTACAGCGACCCGTTAAATATGTGGTGATTTGTGAGTTTTTAAGCTACATAAGGAATCAACGAGCTATCATAACCATTCATACGCATTATCATCAAAATACCACGTCGCACACATTATCATTGATTTCACAGGAAGATAATAATTTTAAAGTAAGGCACAACCCAATTTGCCCACGGAACATCGCTGATCCATACAGCCTAGTTCTCAGAGACTAAGATAACTAGAGCAACCAAATTTTTTATCCGAAGATATCAAATTGTGACGTGTATTTCATAATTTTGTCTGCTGCAACCATAATTTTAAAGATACGTGAAAACCGAATCATAGAAAATTACCATATCTACCAGATTGTATAACCGATTCTGACGTTATCAAGCGAAAATTCAATATCAATTTTGTGTTCAGTCCAGCATGTCCAATGATATTTTTATACCCGTACTCAAAAAAGAGTTAAGGGGTATATTAGATTTGTGTTAAAAGTGGATGTGTGTAACGCAGAGAAGGAAACGTTTCCGACCCCATAAAGTATATATATTATTGATCAGCATCAATAACCGAGTCGATGTAGCCATGTCTGTCTGTCCGTCTGTCTGTCTCGATGAGCGCCTAGATCTCAAAGACTATAAGAGCTAGGGCCACCAAATTTGGTTTCCAGACTCATGTGATATCCCACTGCTACAAGTGTATTTAAAAAATTTGCCACGCCCCCTTCCGCCCCCACAAAGGACGAAAATCTGTGGTAGGCACATTTTTAAAAATACGATATAACTAAAAACGCAGTATCGTAGAGAATGCCCATATCTACCAGACTGCTGAATCAGATCGGATCATAATTATAGCCAGAATGACGAAATTAATTTTCAGTTGCTTCCCCTGCCCCCTCCTGCCAACGACAACGCAACTCATTTTCCTTCTCGCTCGCACACTCTGCCGCGTTCAGTGCGCGAGCAACCCCTAGCGGAGGAGATGTAGAATCTAAATGGTACATACATATATAATCTACATGTTATATGTATAATATACATAATATATGTAGATGTAGATAACAGATGTAGCAAAAAAAATGTAAAAAGTAAAATTTTTCTTTTAATTCTAAAATTCTAAAAAATCAATTGTTCAAAAATGTAAATACTGACTGAGTACAGGTATAAGTAGAGTCGCGTCCCCAGAAGCGACTCACACGTTCCTTCTCTTTTTTTTCATGATTTTGGGTGGTAATCGGATTTCTGTGAAAGCCAAAAATATTTTTTTTAGTCTATCTTACCATATAATACAAAAGTATTTTTCGTCACTGACACAGGCCAATAAACAGGAAGAAACGTGTGAGTCGCTTCTGTGGACGCGACTCTACTTTTATACCCGTACTCAGTCAGAATATAAATTTGTGAGATTATGATTTATATAGAATTTTAAAATATTTTACATATTAAATTTTGTTGCTACATCCGCCATCTTCATCTACAATGTAGATTCTGCATCTTCTCCGCGAAAGTTCCCGCACTGCACAGGGCAGAGTGTATGCGAGCGGGAAAGAGAATGAGTAACGTCTGAAGCGCCGAGAGGGACTTTCTTCATTATGGCTATAATAATGATCCGATTGGATTCAGATTCGGAAATCTGGTAGCCATGGTGATTCTCTGCGATATTGCTTTTTCCGTTTTCCGGTATCTTCAAAATGTTGGCTGCCACAGATTTTCGTCCTTTGTGGGGGAGGAAGGGGACGTGGCGAAATTTTGATTTACACTTGTAGCAGTGTGATATCACATAAGTCTGGAAACAAAATTTCTCTAGCTCTTATAGTCTCTGATATCTAGGCGCTCATCATGACGGACGGACAGATAGACATGGCTATATCGACTCGGCTATTGATGTTGATCAAGAATATATATGTTTCATGGGGTCGGAATCGATTCCTTCTCTGCGTTGCACACATCCACTTTTACCACAAATACAATATACCCCATAGCTCTTTTAGCACGGGTATTAAAAAGTCAAAATTTGCACCCTGTTGTGGACACTCCTAAACAATCCGCTTAAAATAAAAATATGAATGGAAATCAGCCCAAATAAATATGAAATGAAACTTTATTTATTTTAAAATCCTTCACTGGCATAAAGAACAAAAAAATATAACACTTTTCACATTACTCATCGAAATCAGGAGCGCAATGCTTTCACATGCATGCATTGTGTTTCTGTGCTTTTAGCGCATTAAAAACAAATGTTTGTAGATTAAATCATTTTTCCGGTGTTGACTTGGCTAAAAACACGGAAACTGAAGAACAACAGTAATAAAATCAGTTACGTCAACATCAACACCGATATTATGCAGTTTCTCAACCAAATACACGAAGTTAATACAACAAAACCAGGGTGTCTACAACTGGGATCTTGAAGTGTGTTATCACAAGGCCTGACAGCCATGTTATGCATAGATTTTGGTTAAACATGACGATAAATCACAGGCTAAAATGACAACATCGCGCTTAAAAAATAATAACAGTCACTTTGACGTTTTTATTTCTTTAAATTTTCTTTATTATGCTCACAGCACCTACACCAATGTAGATATTTGTTTCGTGCATTGTCAACAAATATGAGTCACAATACTAAAATATATTGCATTAGTTACATAAATCACAAGATTAGCTTCCTTACTTATTTTTACTTTAATATAAATATTCCTAACAGTACACACGGCCACCGAGAGTTCCGAGAAACGCGCCATTAATGTGCGTCTAATCCGTGACATGCAGGTGAGTTCTAGGCAAATCAAAATATTATGATTTCATAAATTTTTAATTGGTATGTTTACACTACTCGACAAAACCGAAATTTTTTTTCCTCAAGGATCCAAACCGACTTTTTCTGATAGATATGGGGCTTTAAAATTTTTAAAAGAATTATGGTTTTTTTTCTATGGCAGAACTTTTTTTTGAAGAATTTTTGAAGTCTGGTATTTTTTTTTAAAGCTTTTTTCAGAGGGTAGCGCTTGTTTTTTTCACATAACTCTAGTATCTTTCATCTGGTTGTTAAGTACTTTGCTATTTTGAAAAGGTAATTAAAACAGCTAGAAGTTAAGCCCAAATATTTTGTGATTTCAGCTTACCGTCTGGGAAATACCAAGCATTGAAATGCAAAAATGATGATTTTTGTGCGGTATTTTTTACGAAATTTTGACTTTAAAAACTCAGGAAAATTATATCCTGTGTTCTCTATTTTTTTGTGTAAAGGTGCATTAATTTGGCGTCGTTTAAGGTAGCTGTTTTAATTACCTTTTCAAAATAGCAAAGTTCTTTACAACCAGACGTAAGATACTAAAGTTATGTGAAAAAAACTATCGCTACCTCTGAAAAAAGCTTTAAAAAAATACCAGTTTTCAAAAAAATTTCAAAAAAAAGTTCTGCCATAAAAAAAAAAAAAATCATCAAACCATTTCTAAGCCCCAAATCTTTAATAAAAAGTTGGTTTTGTTCCTTGAGGAAAAATCGTTTTGTCCAGTGTTATTAGGTCTACGAATAGGATATAGTCTACTTTTTACCTTCCTACCACCACCCACCATTTTTTAATCGCAATTTTAGTATTTTTGTATGAAAAATATTCAATATTTGTCTGTTTGATTTGTGTCATAATATTCTAATTAGTATTTGGTCAATTTTTGTGTAGAGAAGTAAACATACAAAATAGTAGAGCAAAAAAATCAGGCGAACGAATACAAGATAACGAAAATGTACGTGTGGGCATGTAGCAATAGCGTGAATCTTAATGACAAGAGATACGAAATCAAACGAGAAGGAACGTGTGAGTCGCTTCTAGGGACGCGACTCTACTTATACCCGTACTCAGTCAGTATATACATTTTTGAGCATATGATTTTTTTGAATTTTAGAAAAAAAAATAAACATTTTACATTTTTTTGCTACATCTGTTATCTACATCTACATATATTATGTATATTCTACATCTAACATGTAGAATATACATGTACCATTTAGATTCTACATCTCCTCCGTTAGGGGTTGCTCGCGCACTGAACGCGGCAGAGTGTGCGAGCGAGAAAGAGAATCAGAAGCGTCAGCAGCGCTGGAGAAGGAGAGGGAACCAACAGAAAATTAATTTCTTCATTCTGGCTATGATTATGATCCGATCTGATTCAGATTAGATGTACCGGCCCCTCTGCTCGAATTGTCTTTTTATACCCGTACTCAAAAAAGAGTTAAAGGGGTATATTAGATTTGTGGTAAAAGTGGATGTGTGTAACGCAGAGAAGGAAAATTTTCCGACCCCATAAAGTATATATATTCTTGATCAGCATCAATAGCCGAGTCGATATAGCCATGTCTGTCTGTCCGTCTGTCTGTCTGTCTGTCTGTCTGTCCGTCTGTCTGTCTGTCTGTCCGTCTTGTTGAGCGCCTAGATCTCAGAGACTATAAGAGCTAGGGCAACCAAATTTGGTTTCCAGACTTATGTGATATCACACTGCTACAAGTGTATTTCAAAATTTCGCCCCGCCCCCTTCCGCCCACACAAAGAACGAAAATCTGTGGCAGGCACATTTTTAAAGATACGATAAAACTAAAAAAGCAGTATCGTAGAAAATGCCCATATCTACCAGATTTCCGAATCTGAATCAGATCAGAGCATAAATTTAGCCAGAATGAAGAAATTCATTTTCAGTTGCTACCCCCGCCTCCACCAGCCAGAGACCCGCTACTCATTCTCTTTCTCGCTCGCACACTCTGCCGCGTTCAGTGCGCGAGCGCCCTCTAGCGACAAATATGTAGAATCTAAATGGTACATGTGTAATCTACATGTTAGATGTAGAATATACATAGTAGATGTAGATAATAGATGTAGCAAAAGAAAAGTAAAATGTAAATTTGAAAATTCTAAAAAATCATAAGCTCAAAAATGAATGTACTGACTGAGTACGGGTATAAGTACAGTCGCGTCCCCAGAAGCGATTCACACGTTCCTTCTCGTTTTTTATCCTTATGTTTCATTTACTAATCGTTTCTGACAACAAAAAACAGCTGACCCATAAAAAATATATATTCTTGATCAGCATCAATAGCCGAGTCTATATAGCCATGTCTGTGTATCCGTTCGTCTGTCCGTCTTGTTTTTCGCCTAGTTCTTAGAGACTTAAAAAGCAAGAGCAACCAGACCAAACCAACCAGACTCATGTAAAATCACACTGTATTTAAAATTTTCGCCCCGCCCCCTTCCGACCCCACAAAGTACAAAAATCTGTGGCATCCACAATTTTGAACATACGAAAAAACGAAAACACGCTATCGTAGAGAATGACCATATCTACCTGTTTGTTGAATCTGGATCAGATCGGATTATAGTTATAGTCAGAATGAAGAAATTAATTTTGGCTCACCCCATTCCATAACCTCACATAGTACATATAAACTGACTGAGCTCGGGTATAAAAGTTGAGTCGCGGCCACAGCAGCGACTCACAACGTTCCCTCTCGTTTTTAAATATTTTTTTTTATTTATATGGTTTTTACTGGTTTCTGAAATATTCTTTAAATTTTTAATGTTAAATTGTGTTGCGCTCCTAATTTATTTAAGGAAAAATTGTTTACGAAACACTTAAGTAAACTTTCTAATATATGTAAGCACAAACTATAAAATATAATATAAACTTTCAACCTGCCGTCGCACAGTGTTGCCTCAGTCGAAAGAGGTGACAAAAGTCGTTGTCTGAGTGAGCGCTTTGGATCATTTTAATACACGCATTTGATAGAGAATTTTCTAAGCATTTAAAAATATTTAAGAAAATCGGAGTTTTGGTTTGGGAGATATGAGCATTCAAAGTTGACCATTTTTTCAATGAACATTTTCTATGCACATACTGCCTCTATTACATAGGCCGAATAAAAAGTAAACCATGTCATGTATAATATATGTTTTGTTCTCTATTTTTAGGTATACTTACAGGTAAAATTTTTCAATTCGACCAAAAAATCAATCTAGTTTTTCAATTTACATACAAAAATATGCACTGGCAACAAAGTTCCTCTTGGTCTATCTATTGTGAAGCTTTTAGACATTATAGCACCATGTACTCGTGCAGACTAAATTTTTTTCCTTTTAAATTCAGTTAATTTTATTTTATCTTGTTTCGGTCAAAAGTTATTAATTTAGCCAGCTGAAATGGCCGAAGCCCCCACTGTGCGTCGTACAAGTGCATTAAAAAAATATTTGGATTTTACAAATGCTTACCAATTTTTAATAATTTTGAATAAGTGAGAGATTCAATATCTATTTAGACCACCTATACTGTATACATATTCACTTAAGGCTTTAGTTTTGGGCCTAAATGGTATCTTATCCTAATTTTATTTATCACCACATATATTAGAGGAATGTTTCGTTAAATGATATTTGATCACATTTTCAGTGCTTTCACATCGAGTCGCGGAGATGGAATGACATTGCTTATAACTTTCTTATTGGTTGTGATGGCAACATCTACGAAGGACGCGGGTGGCATGCGGTTGGGGCGCACACATTGGGATACAACAGGATCGCACTGGGCATCAGTTTCATCGGTTGCTTCATGCGAGAATTGCCCACGCCGGATGCTTTAAACATGTGCCGTAATCTTTTGGCCCGCGGTGTGGGGGATGGGCACATTGCACCCGATTATCGACTTATCTGTCACTGCCAATGCAACTCAACGGAAAGTCCAGGCCGGCGGCTGTATGAGGAGATACAGGCCTGGCCACATTTCTACAATATTGAGAAGGAGAAACAGTAGTCTTACTGCATTTAAAAAGCTGTTGTTACTTCTCTTGCGATACCCTTACATGATCGGTTCGGACAAATATTCTATGGCTTTGATATTTGTTTGTTGAATAAAGTTCTATATTGAAACTAACATTGTTTTTTTTTAATAGTTTAATTCAACACATTTAGTTTGATGTAAGGATTAAAATTGAATTATGGAATCCCCGCGGCATTCACAAATCGGTACTTCTGATAAGTCCCTGGGACCAACGTTTAGGATTCCGACTGGGTTTGGCGCGCTGTACGAAAAGAAAAAATAAGTTAAAGCAATATAAACAGACAAAAAAAAGACCATATCTAGTAGCAGGTTTCTCAACGCTTGTATGTTAGGGTCACAGTTCTATCCATTAAATGGGTAGGGATTAAGACACTCAAAACGAATGTGAGCAAGTATTTCAGATTTATAAATTCGCACAGGTGTTAGTAAGATGGTTAACAAATTAAACAAGACGAAAAAATTATTTGGGGTTCAGGACTCACACCTGTCTCGAGAGCCAAAATTGGGCGAACTTAAGCCTTTTCGTCTGTAATAATACATAAAAATACAACAAAATGTGTCAGATCCAAACGAAATCAGCATGAACGTTTGATTGACTGTCCTGATATAACCCGTCTATGCCTGCTTCGGGACAAATAATCGTTAAGACTCCAGCAAATCCAACTTTTGCTGAATATCTTTACATTATGTAATGTATATGTTCTAGTAGCCGTTTTAGACGGTCCCGTAAAAATCTGAAATTGTAGAGCCTGAAAATACGGGATAATACTTACGAGCTGGCCTGCCGTTGGCCCATGGAGTAAATTTCACATGGCTTGCATTACGTTTGGCTGCATCTGCACGCAACTCCGTGCGCAAGGCTTCACGGAGAACTCGGGCTGCAATGTTCGAGTATTGGATGTAGCTGCAATTGGAAAGATATCAAACAATTACGTAATAATTATAATTTAAATATAACTATAGCCGCAACTGAAAAGCATCTGCTTTGTAGCGTACAACTTAAAAATCCTTACGTAATTCCAGCAGCTCTCCAGGCGTTGGTCATTTTGATAAATTTTGTATGCAAAATATTTTCGTCTTGGAACAAAAATTTCAGCTAGTGCGTGCGAACTAGGTGGGCTCGGAATATGCTAGATATATAACTATCGATATAACGCCAACTTGACATTCACCACGATCGATTTGAAATATAAATGCTATTGACGGTATTTCTGCTAGTGCAGGAAATAGTGAATTTCAGCTGTCGTTTGACGGTTGCTACTGCGCTGGCAGTCAATCTATTTAAAATCTAAACTAAAGCACATATTTCTCTAGCTCACACAGCATGCTACTCCACTCCCATAAGGTTTTTATTTCTGGTCTCACAGCCATTAAGTGTAGTGGAATACGACCATTTTCTTTAAACTATCGATAAATCGAAATCAAAATATTGATGTCTAAATAGTCTCGTCACTAATATGGTACAACATATAAACAAAAATACATATGGACATACATAAATTAAAGCAAGTAAGTATGTAAAACTCGCTACATATTTTTCAAATTGCACGCTCTTGTAGTTGTGCCGACTGCTGTTGAGACATGTCTTCTGCCAAGCCGCAGATATTAATAATAGAGCCGTTTTATGGTGGAAGCCATAAACAACTAATAGATGCATTGGTCGAGTGTAGGTCTTGTAAATTTATCCAACAGCTTTTATCTAATATATTTCATAACCTAACCATTACAGGCCTGAATCTAACCGACTATGAGCTTTTCAGTCTACCAGCAAATAAGTGGCACTGGCGAGCCCGCACCTCTGCACTTTGCGTTTCACAGCTTATTCCGACCGATCACAATTACAAAGTGCTCTTCACGAGCTCAGTTCTTTGCTTGGCTGAGCTAATAGGTGTACGTCCCGACTTGGTCACATGTCGAAAAATTGTCTATTTTCACGAAAACCAGCTCGTTTACCCAGTGCGCGAAGTGAAGAAGCGTGATTGTCAGTACGGATTAAACGAGATACTCTCTTGGTAAACTTAGTGGGGATGTGTAATGCAGTAATTATAATGTTGTTTCCATCTTTCAGTTTGGCCGCAGACATCGTACTCTTCAATTCAAACTTCAACCGCACATCATTTCTGGACAACGTGCAGCCCTTTCTTAACATTCAGCCGGATTTTAAGCTGAAGCACATTCGCGAGAAAATAGAAAATAAGTGTGAGGTGCTTTACTTCCCCATTAAATTTCATGCGTTCCCCAACAGGCGTCGCGTTTTGGATGTGGAAGTTGATGAGGATGTTAAACTGGAAGAAGATTGCTTGCATTTAATTTGGCCCCATCGTTGGGAGCACGACAAAAACCCAAGTCTGTTGGTTGCGGTGCTACTCGAGCTTAACAAGAGGCAGGTAAACTTCAAGGTTACCATCTGTGGCGAAAGGTTTCAGGAAGTGCCACAGGCCTTTGAGGAAATACAGGAAAAACTGGGAACCAAGCTCATTAACTATGGGTACCTATCGCGCGAAAAGTACATAAAGACGTTGCTTACTGGGGACATCGTCATATCGACGGCAAGCCATGAGTTCTACGGTGTGTCCATGCTAGAAGCTACTTACTGCGGCTGTTACCCAATTGCCCCTAATAAGCTGGTATACCCAGAAATCTATCCAAAGGTAAACCTGTACAATACGCCCAACTCCCTGATAAAAATTCTTTACAATTGGTGCTGCCATCCGGGACCTTTCCGCAGGCACCGCGATAACTTCTTCGAGTCATTCACATTTGATAAGTACTCCTCTAAGCAATTAGTGCCCAGATATCTCGATAAAATGGGGATTAAGATTTAATTGATAGCAGAGTGAAAGCTAACTGAATCTATATCTATTGGTTACAGACATATTATTCATAAATTTGTAAATCTATATTAATAAATCTGCACTCCGTTATCAAACTTGATCAAACAGATTGAAAAGGCGATTAGAGTATAATTATACATTGTACAGCTGCTACATATCATAAAGCTTAAGAAGCAAAGAATAGGGAAAAACTTCCAGCCACACGTGATGTTTAATCTGGTGTCTGTATAAAAAAGTGGATATCGGGGGAAATTCCGAGAGGTTTGAAACAAGTATGTATGCTTATTTTTTTCGTTTATTATAGAGTCTATCATAGACCGATCAAGCACAAATCAAATGAATCGTATAATTTGTTCTGTATGTAGTTTTTGTTTGTTGCCAGCAGTACAAGCCAAATTCTGTTGGCAGTATTGCCATCTCTGTTATTTTCATATTTATGCAAAGTCGCCTGTTTACAATTATTTGTATATTTAGTTAAGACAAACTTTATACTAATCGGATGACTTCATTATAGAAACGATTGATCGTATGGGTATTAACCGATGACCATCCTTTCTAGTTGATTACTAAGACTATCCAAGAAACATTTCAATTTACTCAGTACTCAAAGAGTTAAGAAATATATTAGTTTTGTCGTGGATGTGTCCACCAGAATCGGAATCTACGAAGAATCTAAGAATCTTTCACCAAGAAACTATGTTTCTAAGATCAATTCGTACCCCCTTCATGCTTCTCAGCCCGCCCTAATATACATACATATATTGTTGATCTATAGCCGGAGTCGGTATAGCCATGTCTGTTTGTCCGTCCATTTTGATGAGCAACTAGATCTCAGAGACTATAAAAGCTAGAGCCACCAAACTTTGTATCCAGACTCCTTTGATATAACACTGTTACAAGCGTACTTCCAAATCTCTCTCTGCCCACTTCCGCACGCACAAATTACGAATACCTGTGGCTTCCAGAATTTTCAAGATAGAATAATGACCATATCTAGCAGATTGCCGAACCATGTTCAGATCATAATAGTCAGAAGGAACAAATCAATTACACTAGTCAACACGATTTTTCCTCAAGGAACAAAACGAACTTTTTCTTAAAGATTTGGGGCTTAGAAATGGTTTGATGATATTTTTTTTTTTTTCTATGGCAGAACTTTTTTTTAAAGAATTTTTGAAAACTGGTATTTTTTTTTAAAGCTTTTTTCAGAGGTAACGCTTGTTTTTTTCACATAACTCTAGTATCTTACGTCTGGTTGTAAAGAACTTTGCTATTTTGAAAAGATAATTGACGCAGCTAGAAGTTGATGCCAAACACTTTGTGATTTCAGCTTACCGTCTGGGAAATATAAAGCATTGAAATGCAAAAATGATGATTTTTGTGGGGTATTTTTTACGAAATTTTGACTTTAAAAACTCAGGAAAAGTCGAAAAAAAATTATATCTTGTGTTATCTATTTTTTTGTGTATAGGTGCGTTAATTTGGCGTCGTTTAAGGTATCGCTCATTAAGATCTATGGAGACACTTTGGAGCTAAAATTCGTTAACCAAACCTAAAATATGGAAAAAATGAACAAAAATACCTGAAGGCGGCGGGCCCAACTGACAATTGGGAACAAAGGAACGCGATCAGGTACCAAATGTACAACCCTTGCTCGTTTGCTTTGTTCCCAATTGGCAGTTGGGCCCGCCGCCTTCAAAAAGGTATTTTTTGTTCATTTTTTCCATTTTTTAGGTTACAAAAAAATAGATAACACAAGATATAATTTTTTTTCGACTTTTCCTGAGTTTTTAAAGTCAAAATTTCGTTAAAAATACCCCACAAAAATCATCATTTTTGCATTTCAATGCTTTATATTTCCCAGACGGTAAGCTGAAATCACAAAGTATTTGGGCTCAACTTCTAGCTGTTTTAATTACCTTTTCAAAATAGCAAAGTTCTGTACAACCAGACGTAAGATATTAAAGTTATGTGAAAAAAACTATCGCTACCTCTGAAAAAAGCTTAAAAAAAAATACCAGACTTCAAAAATTCTTCAAAAAAAAGTTCTGCCATAGAAAAAAAACCATAATTCTTTAAAAAATTTTAAAGCCCCATATCTATCAGAAAAAGTCGGTTTGGATCCTTGAGGAAAAAAAAAGTTCGGTTTTGTCGAGTAGTGTTATCAGTGGCTACGCCGCCCCTTCCACCCGCTTACTGATTCTTTTTTTCTCTCACTCTTCTTCGTGCAGTGAGCGCCCTCTGGAGGAGGAGAGCAATTTAGAGCGGATGGTGTTGTTATGAGAAGAAAGAGAAAGGTGGAAGGAAGGTTGAAGCAAAATATTCTATAATTGTAATCAAACAGATCCTGAGGTGGAAAGATGCTAAACGAAGTGTAAGAACTACTATTAGAACATAAATAGCGGTTGTAGTTCCTCCTTTAACTATATGTTTTTTCCATTTCTCATGAAAAGTGTGTGAGATAGCGCGAGGGCGTGCCAGGGGAGTCAGCCACGGAAAAGTATTTTCTTCATTCTGACATGCCCATTATTTATAATACCGAATGGGTATCTTCGTATCTTCGAAATTTTGGATGCTACAAACAAGAGTTTGATTTTTAACCTATGTATTGAAAAGAACATTGCAAAATTGTTTAATTCTTAGCAGAGAAAAAACACTTACAAATAAAAAACAATTAACCTAAACAGTGAACTAGAAGTGGTTTTCTGTAAATTTAGGCGGAGAACTGTACTTCACTTTAACATGCGCTCGATACTCTTCATCTTCGTCGTGGTACTCTCTATAACACTGGGAGCAGAATAGTTCGCCATCGCATCCACGGCAACGGAAGACGGCATCCTCATCACAAATATTACACCAAGGCAGCTCCTCAGTAATGCTGTTTTTGGTCGGGTCGCCATCGACGTCATCATTAAGGCTACTTTTCCCAGTTAGTAAACTTGATTCTGCAACGTACTGTTCGATGATGTGTTAAACATTCTGTTAATTATCCAAATATAATGTAGAATGAATTTGTACCAACCTTTTTTATTATATTTTTTAAAACATTTTCATCATCCTCGTTATCGCTGGGAGTATTTGAAGTTTTAGATAGCTCTGCACCCGAACCTGCTTCATCACCGATTGGGGCATCCCGCAGTGCACGCAAACGTTGTTCAATGTCGGAAATTGCATCGTTACGTTGGGTGTCAACTTTCTGGTCCAGATGTGTTTCGTCCATGAACTGATCAAGCAAATCTTTAATTTTGTCCTGGTCACTTCTTTGGTCCGTGGAAAGCAGCAAATCCTTTTTGTAGTAGTTCTTCTGACAAGGAATGCCGCTTATGTTAGAGAGACGCGTTCGAATTTCATCGTCGGTTGCATCGACATCTTTAAGATTTTGCAACCGTTTTGCTATGGCACTATCCAAATTTTCGTCAATACATTCATTTGTAGAATGTGCTGCGGTGCAGAAAGTACTGCTTATGGGTGCCAGCACTGCTGCCAGTTCCTCCGACGATGAAACATTTCTGCAGTGAAAGATAGCTTACAATTGGTATTGCATACGTATGTGTCTGTACCTACTTAAAAAGAACATCTGCATTGTCGAGTTCCAACCGGGTGGAGCTATTTAAGGGATTTGGTAGGCGCAGTTGGGTAACAAGTTCTCCGGGCAATGCATCGCAGTCTATGACTTTATTATGATCGACATTAGTCTGCATCTTGGACAGTTTATCGTAGCAAATTAAGCATACATTCAGCACCTTCCCTGCGAACCGAGGTACTGGCATTGGCCTCTTCAGACACTTTGAGCAATAGGAGAAGCCACAGTTGGGACACCCATGCTAACAATATAACAAAATATTAGTCAAGAGTATAATGCAAATATACATTCCATTCTTGCCTCCTTGCTGAATAATCCATATTTGCGGCTACAGCCGAAGCAGCTCATGATGGCACAGAAAAAAAATGTATAGTCGAAATAAAAGTTTAACTTCGAAAAAATATAAACAAAGGCTATTGATTTTTTTATTTTAACTAGTTTAGCTCTTACGATATTTTCTCATTTATACGATCAATAGCTATCGAGTTTATGCATCTACGGTATTCATGGTTAGAGGGATTTGTGTAAAAATATTACACATCCTTTAAAAGGCAAGGAAACGCAGCGGAACGAAATCTAACATGAGAATCCTGAGATATTCTAATTTTCTTTAAATAATATTAAAAAAATGCTTTAAAAAGCCAGCAATCGATTTGAATATTTGTTGAGTTTTACAGTTAGCAGAACCAGCTGTTTACGCGCTGTTGGTTACGCCCTTTGCAACTATTGCAATTTTACGCACGGGTAGAGTACAGTGAGGTTTTAAAAATTGATGTCTGTATTCCTTTAGATTTCACTGATAAATCAGAGCATTTGTTTAAAAGAGGCTGGTTTTACGTATGGGAAACGCTATTGTGAGACCAGATATAAAAAACCTTGTCGAATAGCATGCAGATGCAGTGTGGCAGCGCAGCGGCCGATAAACGGCAGAATTATGCTTTCCCAGAGAACCAAAACTTTGTAAACGATATCGCAAACGTGAGTTACGCTAAACTCAAGCGGGTAAAACTATCGAATTTAGATCCAAAAACGATAATAAAATGAATCACTAGTCGCTCAGTTTGTGGCAGTGAAAGTTTCGTTTTCGGTAGCTCGAAGAAGGTATCGTTTGCGGACCTTTTATAATATCTTTTGCGAGCCTTTTATGCTATCTTTTACGATACGTTTTTAATATCATTATCGAGCCGAAAGTAATATTAAAAGTAGCCCACTAGTAATATTAAAAGTAAATTAAAAATAATATATTTTGTCTCGTATTTTGTTCGCATATTTATTATTTAAGTAGGGACGGCGCAAACGCTATTCCCGGCTATCAAAATTTACACAGACGAGTTATTCACATTAGGAATAATCGCAAAAGTCAACTCAGCCGACGTGCAATGACCAAGTCTCACTCCGGAGGAACACGCCCTCGTGATCACGGTTAACCTCTGCGCCTCTGATCGGCATCGGGGTTTCCATGTCCTCACAGCTGGAAGCAGTTGGGAATTATAAACCTATCCTAGTGCTACCCAAGAACACTGTATAGTTTTAAGACTTGTCCAGTTTTCACTCACTCAATAGTACAAAATGCTCTTTTCTAAGTCCGTCTGCGAACATTTGGCGAGACTTTACCGGTAGCTAGCTACTTTCTCCGTTATGTTTTACTTTCTTGTTAATTTTTCACTCATTTTTAAGACCGTTTGCAATAGTTTTGCGATACTTAAACGTCCCAGGGTTTTTGTCCGCTAAATGCTCTTTTTTGAGTCCACTTGCGGACATTGAGCGAGACTTCAGTAACAGCTCACGGATTTTTATCATTTCTAAGTCCGTTTACGAACATTTTGCGATAGTTCCGCTTTACTATCGTCTTGTGGTCCACTGGGTTGAATCAGAGTTCGGCTACTGCGCTGCCGCTCACGTACACGTGTCCCTGCAGTTCCAAAAGTCAATTTTCACTCGTGATTCATTTGGTGAATCACTCATGGCATGTCCTCTGCCACTGGTGACTCACTGGTGAATCTCCAGATGATATTCGTATGGACATGTCCGCTTTTGTCACTCGTGAAACTTCATATGAAATTTTCACTGAATTTTCTAGTGATTTCACCGGTGGCTTATACGTATAAGCCATGAGTGAAATCACTCGGGACATGCCACGAGTGATTTCACATTTCCGAAAATGTCCTATATGAAATCACTCGTGACTCATTGCCATACGAATATCATCTGGAGTTTCACCAGTGAGTCACCAGTGGCAGAGGACATGCCATGAGTGATTCACCAGATGAATCACGAGTGAAAATTGACTTTTGGAACTGAGGGATAGGTCAAGAAAATTAAGTCATGTTTCGAAAACATTGGCATGGACAGTCCCATATGAAATCACTCGTGACTCTTTTGAAATGTCCTATATGAAATCACCTGATAATTTCATATGTGAAAGCCACCCAAAAATTTCTTTAAACACTTCATTCAAATAAAAGTAAATATATTTATTTTACACAGATTTTCTAGATTTTTCATTGATTTAATTATTTTTAATTATCTGTAGGGCCTTCCCTAACCGACTCGATCGGGTTAATAAGCACCAATGCTCCTGAAATGATAAAAAAAAATATATATATTTAGCCACGGAAGGTAATATTTTCTGAACTAACTTCTGAGCTATGTTCTGATTTTTATAAAGCAATACACATATGAAATTTGATTTTACCTTTGAGGCATTTTAAACAATTACTCCGGGACTAATTTTTCGTCCAGCACATTTTTAAGGCAATGGGTCCTTCTCCAGCAACTTCAGAAATGTTTGGATCTGTAAATAAATAAGTCAATTTGTACATACATATATATTTTTTAATTAAAAATGCTGTATTTGCAGTTACATGGGTTTCCTCGAGCAAAAACAAACACGCGCAGCGACGCACATGGTTAACGGGACCACACCGCTTGAATGTTCTAGAATCTAAACATATTTGTTCTTGCGGAAACCCATGTACAAATTTAATTTAACTAACAACGCGCACTGTAATAAATGAATCCACTCACCTGACTTTAACAACACTGAAAAACCACTTTTAAAAGGAATAAACATATAAATAGACGCTCAACTCAAAAAAATCACAGCCGCTCGCAACAAAAGATTGCACCAAATAATCGGGTTTTCTCCCCACATCCCTTTGAGGAGACGAAATGCGCGAGAGTAGAAGAGTTAGGGTCAAATGCAGGTACAGAAAACTAAGAATATGAGAGAGAGGGAAGTCTATGGATATCTGCTTCTCTTTCTTACGAGTCAGCTTCGATCTGCAGCAGTTGAAGCTGGTCAGAATTTCATGCTGACGTCGACGTCAACGCCTTTGTTTACGTCGAGCCCGAACAATTTTTCCTATGACACTTTCATGCCGTGACAGCCAGAACTGCAGGGGTATTACAGTGGTTGGTACCAATACAATGATCCGTTTTGCCTGCTCTATACCAGCTGGTAACCCTAGGGGTAGGCACACAGACTCACACATTTTTTTGGTGCGTTTGTGTGCGAAAACAACAGACACGAAGTCAAATACGTTACTTATTTCTCTTGCGCTGCGAAAGCCGAAGAATTGTGCATAGGGCACACGAATGCTTCTCTGCCGCTGAGGCAAGCGAGCAGAATATGAAGCTGTTTTGTGCATAGCCCGAAGCATGTTTCTCTGCCGCGACGTCAGCAGGCAGAATAACGAAAACACACGAAGTCTTTACGCTGTACGTGTGCCGACTGCGCTGCCAGAAATTTTGTCCTATGCACAGTGCATACGACGCTGCCGGCCTCTGTTCTATACCCAGTGGACCACAAGACGATAGTAAAGCGGAACTATCGAAAAATGTTCGTAAACGGACTTAGAAATGATAAAAATCCGTGAGCTATTACTGAAGCCTCGCTCAATGTCCGCAAGCGGACTCAAAAACGAGCATTTAGCGGACCATCGGACTGCACGACATTTGATTGTGTGTGTGCAGACCGCAGACTATAGCGATAGGAATACAATAGCAAATATACCCCACACATCGTTTCAAAGTCTTATAAAGGGCTCTGATTTATAGGTATAAATCAGCTATGTGTGCACAAATAGTCAGAGTTCTTCGACTCTCGAACAGAGAGAACGGCTGTCAATACTAAGTTATCATTATGTCTCATTTTATCTCTGTCTTTCAAACTAGATTGGCCCTGAATTGTATTGGAATACGACCATTACAAATCATACCTGTTGTTCTCTATAGTAATTTTTAAATGGTCTAGTACTCGGGCAATATAAGTTTTTTTTTTTTTTTTTATTACGGGATTTTATTTATTGAATCTTTCCTATTAGAGACTTTCGACAAGTATACAAATCTTAGCCTAATATATTTATTTAATTAATTATACTTAATTACTTAGATTACGTCCCTAGCTAAGTATTATTGCTGGGTGGGGAGGTCTCTTCGCCGGAGTCGTGTAAGGCTAGTGTGCCAAGTTAAAGACTGCGCAAGTCTATTTGGATGGGCTTGAAGCTTGGCCTGGTACTTTGCATTCACTTTGGCAATTTCATCTTTAACTGATCCTACATTTAAGTCTTTATGGATATTTTCATTCCGTATGTACCATGGTGCCCCAGTGATAGTTCTTAGTATCTTTGATTGAGCTCTCTGGATTATTTGTAAATTACTAACGCAAGCATTTCGCCATAGCTCTGAGCCGTATGTCCAGATGGGTTTGAGAACTACATTGTAAAAAAATACTTTGTACTCCAGTTTTAGTGGTGAACGGGTGTTTATTAGCCAATGTTAATTACTAGCTTTAAATTTAAGTAGATTTCTCTTCGCTTCGATGTGTTTACGCCAAGTAAGCCTTCTATCCAGATGAACACCAAGGTATGTTACTTCGGTGGTTTTCTAAGGCCACGAGATGAGATGATAAGTGATCCGTGGCCCTTCTTGGGCACTTGGAGCGACTTAATATGGCAGTATCATCAGCAAATGTCGAAGTTGTCGTTAGGCTGTTTGTCGGTAGATCTGCTGTGAATATGATATACAGTGTCGGTCCAAGCACGCTGCCTTGCGGTACACCAGCTTCAATTGGATGATATTCAGAGAGGTAATCTTTGCATCGTACTGCGAAACTTCTTTGCTGTAGATATGACTCCAATATTCCATGGATGTTCTGTGGAAGTAATATTTTGATTTTGTGGATTAAGCCATCTAACCAAACGCGGTCGAAAGCCTGGGCGACATCCAGAAAAACAGTGGAGCAATACTCTCGTCTTTCAAATGCATTTCTTATCTCAGAGGTTATACGGTTTACTTGTTCAATGGTTCCATGTTATTTCCAAATTGGTGCATCGGGATGGTGCTGTTTGAGCAGCTTTTCAAATATCTTTGATAGGCAAGGCAGAAGGCTGATAGGTCTATATGATAATGGCTTGGACTTGTCTTTCCCGGCTTAATGGATCATTGTGATGACTGATTTCCTCCATTCTTGAGGATAATAACCCCATTTGATCATGCTGTTGAATATCACAGTAAGGAAATACACTGCACAGCTCGGCAATTCTATGATCATTTTAGGGGAGATGAAATCGTGGCCCGGAGCTTTCCTTTGCTTTGAGATTTGGTCTTTAATGACCCTTGTGACTTCTCCTGATTGGAATATGATGGGCGGAGTAGCTTCGGGATTGTTGGTTGGTGGGAGCACAAAGCTATTTGTTGCTGGGTGTGGTTTGAAGACGTTTTCTAGATGGACGGAAAATGAATTTTCTCTTTGTTGCTGCGAGCCCACTCTTCTGTTTGTGTACGCAAAGGTGATTCACTCTCGATATGTGGACATACGGCTGATGTAGCTTTCCACAGTGGGAATCGTTTGCTAGTTGGGGAGAGTTGCTCCATATAGGATATTTTAGCTCGGTTTTTTTCATCTTCTAGGGCTCTGCGTAGTTGGTGGTTAGCTATTTTTAGCCGCTCTTTTGAGGCAGGTGATCTGTGTGCTTGCCACTGTCGGCGAAGCCTTCTTTTATCGCGTAGCAGCACTTCAATGTGCCTAGAAATGTGCCTGTTGGAAAGTTTATTAGGTGCTAATATTGGTTTTGAGTGTTTTGCCGCCAGTGACATTGAGGATACTAATGCTTCGACTGACCTATCAATGTCATCTTTACAATTAATGTTTGGGCAGCTAACTATATGAGAGATTATGTACTTCCTGTATTTGAGCCAATCTGTTTTGCTAGAAGTTAGAAAGTGTGGGCGTTCCGAAAGCTGTGGATGGTCGTAAAGGTGAAGTAGAATGAGCGAGTGATCCGATGATAGATCTGTTAAGTGATTTACATTAGTCTGAGCTTGCAGCACCCTTCGTGTAACTGCAAAATCAATCAAGTCGGGTTGCTTGTTTGGATCTGTGGGCCAATATGTGGGCTTGCCCGGAGAGATAAAGTCTAGCTTGTTTCGTGGGGTTATTATAGCGCTATATAGTTGTCTTCCTTTCGGGTTGGTAAGTCTAGGTTTAGGTAGCCGCTCTGAATTTAAATATGAATTGCTATTGCCTGTAGATAAGGTGTAGCAAATGAAGGCAATGAATAATGCCTAATGCGATTCTTGATCAGAACGCCAGTACCTCCATGTGCCTTACCATCGGGATGATTTGTCGCATAGAAGTTATAGCCATCGAGGGGAAAATAGTTTTTATTTGTTAGGTGAGTCTCTGATATGAGCATGGCGTCAATGTCGTGTTGAGCGAGGAACTGTAAGAGCTCGCATTTGTGCTGCGAAATGCCATTTGCATTCCAGAAACATATATTTAGACAGGCCATTTAAACAGATTTCTGTTTGATTAGGAGCTCCAGGAGGAGATTTTGGTTGCGCATAAGCTCCTGCATCGTTTGTTGTATTGCTACCATTGTGTTTGTTATAGTTATCAGCATTGACCCAATTCCAATAGGAAATTGGGATGGATTAGCAGGGGTATGTTGGGCAGAGATTTCTAGGATCTGATTTGATGCCTGATGCTGCATTATTCCAGCTGTGGTTGGTTGAAGTGTGGGCTTAGAGGCTGAGGCGTACGACCCGTTGTTGTAACTTAACGCCTGAGCAAAAGAAACTCCTGGAGTCGTAGTTATGGTATATATGGTAAGTTTTGTCGGACGACCGGGTTTCGAGCTGCAGTTATTTGTTGGTTTAACCGATTTTTCAATTCTTTATAGACAGGACAGCCTCTATAGTTGGCAGTATGGTTTCCCCCACAGTTGCTACATTTTTTGACAGATGTCCTTCTTATTTACGGGGCAGGCCTCAGTGAGATGAACATTACCACAGGCAACGCAGACTGCCCGTAGAGTGCAATAGGTTTTCGTGTGTCCATTTTCCTGGCAATTTGTGCATTTGGGCAATATAAGTAAAAGACAGTTTTAATTATATGGAGATTTAAAAAATTTTGATTCCATTTTTTTCTGCAAGTATGGATTTATCCAATATTTTCATCGCTTTCTCCGTTTATCGCCTTCCTCCAGCGCCACTGTAAAAGCAATTTCCACAATAAATACAATCCTGCTTGCTTGTATTCTTGCCTTTAAAACAAATATGCAATTACAAAACATTGTAAAGTATACTCTTTTATACTTTTTTTTCGCAGTCAACATTGAAACACGCATACTTGGAGTCCCTTATTTTTCGCAGACTAAATGTCGACACATGCGTGCAGACTTATTTTATTTAGTACATATACATACATATTATAACTTAATACTAGAACAAAAAGGTTGTTAAAAATTACTTAACTACGAGCCAAATCGTGTTAGAAGTTGTAAATTTACGTACTCATAAAATGTAACATTTTGCATTAAATAGAATGTTATAAGTCTTGTTATTTTTTTCGTTATCGCCTCACAATACATACATATGTAGTTATAGTTGGCCCAGGTAGACTCTATGGTGTAGGACAGCACCGGTGAGAGCGGTGATCCGTTACTAAGGAAAGAAAGAGGAGAAAATTAGTGGGTGTATTAATAAGGGCGCGCATGCGTGAGAGGGATTAAGTAGGAGTGAAAAAAAAGAAAAATTTGGACAGAGTAATTGCATGTCAACCAGTGCGGATGCACAGAAATTTGTCTTGCCCAAAATCAAGGCAAAGTGTTGTTAAACCCGAGTTTGGTAGATTTTTGAGAAAAGTGAGTGGTGATAATAAATACATATTTGAATGTTTACTAACCAGCGGTGCATTTCCGATAGATTGACCCGGAAGATTGCCCACTGCAGCCGGGTCAGCAAGTCTACCCCAAGAGGAATTTGAGCTGGAAGGAATCGAGGTGTGCCTAGAACTTGTTGGGTGTTCCTCCACCACCCTTATTGAGGAGTCATAAACCGTGAGTCCGTTCCAAGTATGTGTTGTGGGTGAGCCGTGCGTAAGAGGCAGACGAAGGGGTGGACTGGGCAGATCCAGATCCAATGCCTAATTCTCGCATTTTCGAGGACGAGCCGTTAGACTCTGCAGAAGCCACTCAGCTATGCACTCACATCTTCTCGCATATTTACACTCAAGTTTATACGAAATATATTGACAGACCGACGTAAACGTAACGTAAACATATTATTCCAGTACAACGCCAAACATTGCGCGACAGAGATAAAAAGCAACAACATATGATAGGATTAACCGTTGTGCGCGGCGCAGGGTCCCACAAGCCCACTGTTTTGGTGGAGTCGGTGGAATATTGTTGTGTGATTTTTGTTGTCGATGGCCTTGTTTATTCCTGCCATATGACCCTTAACAAGAACTCTGCTCTTGGTAGGTTAGTCTCGGGAGGGCCCAAAGAAAGTTAACGCATATCCAAAATAAATCTGCATCGATACGCACATTACACAGGGTAAGGGTACTCCCGTAATGACATAAGCCTAAGTTGATCAGTAAGTATTTATTTGAGTTTTGTAGTTAAAATAGTTGGTGTTTTTTTTTTGTTATTTTCTTATTTATTTAAATTATTTTTGTGTATTATCTAGGGAAGAAAATATTAGACCTATATTAATAGGTCGAGAGCTAGCCGGCGTTGCCCCACGAACCGCAAGCCGAATGTAACAATTTATATAAATACATACATATATGTATGTACATACATATATGTACTTTTTCAAAAGTACCACCTCAGATTTGTCATGCATGCAGATGCACATATGTATGTATGTACGTATCACTCAGACTGGCCACACAATATTCATATATGTATGTACATATGTATGCACGTAAATTTTATTTTGCTTATACTCTTGCAAAGGCTATTAAGATTTTTTGTTAGATGTGGGAAACCATAAAGTTTAGCTGCGCCAACATCGGATCACGTATCTATATAACTGCCGTTGAAACGGTCTATCGAAAAGAAGTCTGAGCGAAGTATGTAAATTTTAGGCTGAAGATATTTTAACCATAAAAAATTTTTTAAAGAACGTTTAAAATCGTTGGAAGGTACATATGTAGTTGTAGACCTTTAAAACTATCTGGATCGATTTTGGAAATTTTTGCTAATGGCAATCGAACTTTTTACCATTGAACAGCCAAAAAGAAACTCAGAACAGATAAAATTGAATCAATCGCTGAGGGACGTAATATTTTGTTTTTATATTTTAGAAACGTCGCAGCTAGGGTAACAAAATCCTCGGCTACCGTAAGCTATCCGTTCTCTCATTGTTTTTTTGTATTTATTACTCAATTGCGCAATGTTCGTCTGCTCTTCGCTTTTGTATTTATTTTTTTATTTTAGTCTAGCGAACAAGAAGTTTAATGTAAAAAAATTTGAAAAAAAATTCATGCATACATATGTAGATATGTTAGTACATTATGTACGACGTTCAATTTCAGTGACGACCAGTATCGACAATGTACAAAAAAACAGCTGCGCAACTACGTCACAGTGTACACCAGAGCATCGAAAACTATCCATATAATGAGCCTAGCAGTGCCCAGGCCACTCTGCAGGCCAGTTGCAAAAGTGAGACAAAAAGCTAACATATCGGCATGTACATACATATGTAAATAAACACGTCTAAACACTTTCAGATTCATTGAGCTTTGTGCAGCGCTTAGATATACTGCAAACGCTATACGTCCATAATGGCTGCGTGAACACAGTGAACTGGAATGCAAGCGGTACACATATTGTATCTGGCTCCGATGATAATCATCTGGTCATTACTGAGGCCAAGAGCGGTCGGGTAGCTCTCAAGAGCAAAACCCAGCATAAACGTCATATTTTCAGTGCACGTTTCATGCCACACAGCAACGATCAGGCTGTCGTTTCCTGCTCTGGCGAAGGCCTAGTCATTCATACTGAGTTCCTGATTCCATATAGCTCAGAAAACTGTACAAAGACGATAGACTATCTAGTTGGAGAGGAGAGCCGAATCGTCAACGTTTTTGATTGTCACACATTTGGGAGCACCTTCGATGTTTTGCCAATACCTGATGAACCACGTTCCTTTCTCAGTTGCGGAGAAGATGCAACTGTACGCTGCTTCGATCTTCGCCAATCCAGTAGCTGCTCCAAGCGTATGTGCCAAAAGCACATTCTTATAATGGCGCCCTGTGCCGTGACAGCCATGGATGTGGCTCCATTTAATTACAACAATGTGGCCATTGGCTGTTCAGACTCGATAATTCGTCTATACGACAGGCGCATGCTAGCAAATACAGGATCTGCATCCTTTTCGGTGGGCTCAACAATACCGCTTAAGGCCTACCCTATTCCGATGGAATACACGCGTCGTCACTATCGCCCCACCTGCGTAAAGTTCAATATTAACGAATCTGAGCTTCTGGTCAGTTACTCAATGGAGCAAATTTATCTGTTTGATCTGAAACACCCCGGATATAACGACGCAGGTCTTTTAAAAAGCGGTTGTTATACGCCCAAAATGCGCCGTGAAGACGATCCAGACCCGCAAATGCCTCGTCTTCGCTTTCGTGGCGATTGGTCGGACACTGGGCCCAACTCCCAGGCCATTGCCGAGCAGAGTTTCAACCGTCCCAATGTGGGGCAAGCTCGTCCACCCCTTGAACCAGGAGTACTTAGTCGGCTTAGTGATGAAATCTTTCGCATGCTTAATTCGCCCAGTCGTCAAATGCGTCAAACTTCCCAAGCAGCCGAGTCAAATACAGATCCAACCAGCAGCCGAACAGCAGGAGCATTTTCCTGGCAGAGTGACCTGCTGCGTACGACGGAAGGGCATAGCGAAGCCGCAACATCAAACCGCGATTCAAATAGCACCCTTCTTGCCAGAGACCATGACACAATTTATGCAAATATGATCAACGAATCGGATGTGCCTAACATCTCTGTCAATTCTGGTAAGTGTGCCTTATTTAAGCCCGCATGATTTATATATATATTTCAAATAGAAATTAAAGGAAGTCCTGAGAACAGGAAGGACGCTAAAGAGGCCAAAAACGAGGACAAAAATGCCATAACAGCTGGAGATGGACAAACGTTTCCTATTCGCAATTTTGATTACGTGAAAATGGCTTTCAGTGGGCACCGCAACTCAAGAACAATGGTAAAGGGAGCATGTTTCTGGGGCGACGACTTTATTATGTCGGGTTCCGACTGTGGCCATATATTTGTTTGGAATAGACAGACCGGAAAGGTAGTCAAGACGCTTCTGGCAGATAATCGTGTCGTCAATCGTGTTCAACCACATCCCACGCTCCCCTACCTTCTTAGTTCCGGCATCGACTACAATGTGAAGGTGTGGGCGCCAATCGCTCCTGATCCCCATTTCGACGAGGTTGAAACCGCTGGAGTACGTGTTATGTATTTCGTTGACATTGACAAGCCAAAAAACATTGCATTTAATTTTTTCTCTTTGCAGCTTATAAAGAGCAATGAGATTATGTTGGTGGAGACTCGCGACACTATAACCGTGCCTGCCCAGATAATGATACGAATTTTGGCAAGCCTTCATCAGTATCGCCGGTTGATGCACGAAGCTGGTAGCGAAGCCAGATCGAGGCAAGAAGGTCTGTCTAACAATGGGGCAGAAGCTCCTAATAGTGATAGCTAAGTCAAATCGTGATCGCTACAACGCTGAAGTCAATCCAAAAAAATTTGTGAAGTACTTACTTACCTGTACTACTGTAGTAAAACAAGCTTGAGCTAATTATTGTTCAACGTCCGAGGCAAGTACACTCCCCACAGATGCACCGAAGGGACTGAAACGGAAACAGTGATCAGACCAGTCCTCCGCCTCTTTTCATATTTCTCCTGTTTCCGCATGTTTTTTCCTTCCGACGGATGCGATTAAGGCATTGCAGAAAATATCAGCCCAATAAGTAGAGAGAGGGACACGTTTCTTTGTGTAATGTAAATCTTATAAAAGGTACATACATATATCGAAAATAATCCCTTTTCCACTTACGTAAGATTGCGATAAGTTTTTAAATGACTGTTTCCAAATATGAAAACAAATGATTTCATATTTTGTTAAAAAAGTATAAAGTATAAAAAAAAAAAAAAGACCTGGATAATTCCATATATTTAGTCAATACTCAAATTAGTCAATTTCGTTTTGTTTACTCTGCTAAATATATAATGTTATGCTTTATCAAAGATACCCACTAAAATAACCATACGTGTCCCTTTAATATCGTACTTTATATATTTTCTCTTTACCTCATCTATCCATTTAAATGTTACTCTTTTATTTTTTTGAAAATATTTTATGGCTTCAAATTTCTTCACAAGATGAAACTCCTCCTCCTAACCATCCACAAGAAAGAATGGCCTATGCACCGCTCAAAAGCCACAGGAGTACATTCCGAAGTCGTGGCATGAAAGGACATGAGCGTGGCATGAGCCTGAAATTCTGAAAAAATATAATACCCGGTTTTTTCCGTCTGACGGATGCAATTATGATTGCATGTGTGAGAAAGCACAAAATACAATTTTATGTCAAACAAAATGTTAATTATATATATTACAAAGACCAACCTCAAAGTTAACGAATTTTATTTACTAAATGAACAGGATGTTCTATCCATGTTGTATCCATTATTTATTTTTCCATATCAATATATAATTTTTATACCCGTACTCAAGAAGTTAAGGGGTATATTAGATTTGTGGTAAAAGTGGATGTGTTCAACGCAGAGAATGAAACGTTTCCGACCCCATAAAGCATGGGTGCGTGTCATAACGCCCAGTGTCACGATTTTTTAGAAAAAATATATTTGCCTTCGTCCTTATCTCCCGCAATCAGCAGTCCAAAACCAGCAGGTTCTCCCTATTCCTTAAATTTTCTTTATAATAGGTAAGGATTGAGGGGAGTAATTAACTTAAGTTTAACAAGGATTGTTTTTTATAATAGGCATTTAATATTTATTAGCTTCGGGCGTTATATTGTCATCAGGGCCGGTGATAGGTGTTATGACGCCCGGGGCGTATATGAGTAGAGGCGCCCTCTGATAAATACATATGCAGTTTGGTTTGTAGTTTGGTTTTTTTCAGATTTTCAGAAAGTTTTTTGGCAACTTGCAGAGCAGATTCAAGCCTTTATTCCTGTAGCTGTAGTCTAGAAATGCAGAACAATTTCATACTGATAATGTGGGAGCAGCGATATTTATGGTTTGATACAAGATAACCTTAAAATAGAATGTCATATCCAACATAAATTAGAAAAGTATAATTTCATCAGCCAAGCCTTTTGCTTGGCAACTGAGAAGCTTCAAAAGGCCGCGTACAATGTGAATATTAAAAAATTATGAAATAAGGTTTAAAAAAAGAATAACTTAGTATTTTAAAGATACGTAAATTGGCCAAGCTGTGAAATATAAACGAAATATATACTCATATATATTTTCAATAAATTTCACTTGGGAATTTGGCGCCCCAAAAATTTGCATCATCCCGCCTCCTTCCGCCCCCACAAAGGACGAAAATCTGTGGCATCCACAATTTTGAATATACAACAAAACAAAACAAAACAAAACGCAGTATCGTAGAGAATACCCATATCTACCAGATTGCCGAATCTGAATCAGATCAAAACATAAATTTAGCCAAAATGAAGAAATTCATTTTCAGTTGCTACCCCCGCCTCCACCAGCCAGAGACCCACAACTCATTCTCTTTCTCGCTCGCACACCAAAGACAATATAAGTATAAAATAAATAACGCCATACGAAATTTTTGCACACGAATTTTTCATGCTGGCTCTAGAGCTGGCTCCAGGCTCTCTTGAAATTTTTTAGAGAGAGAGAGCGCTCTAGAGCCAGCCGCTCTCTTGTATGCATACAGCATACGAAGGCACACGAAGTTGGTTCTTTGCCGATGCGACAGCTGAGCCGAGTCGTCGCGACGACTGTATGTGTGCACATGCATACGTTTTTTACAGCGCTGTCGAAATATACCCTTCACTTTATAAGTGTAAGCTAATTTTGCAGGACGCTTACCACCCCAATATTAAAAAACTCATATATGTATTATATGTATATATCCCTCCAATGATAATTTCTTTTCAGATGTTATATTCGATAATAATGATCGGATATACATATATAAAAATACATAATATATTTAATACACGAAATTCCATGAATCACATCGGAATAATTGCCATTAGGGTATTCAGGATGCGACGTATTCAACGCCGGTATATAATTTCGTTTCTCAACTCGTAAAAAGGTTTTCGTCTCGAAAATCGTCCGCTTCGCACAAGTACGCACACATACGCACTTGCTGTTCTGTGTGTACTCACACATGCAAGCGGATTCTATTTTTAGATTCGTACGCTCTCAAATTTATGCGAGCGAAATGGCGCGAATTTCGTCGCTGGCCGAAAAATTTGCTTGCATATGGCAATTGAAATGTATGAGCGTTACGCATCTTATACTTATATTGTCTTTGCTCGCACACTCTGCCGCGTTCAGTGCGCGAGCGCCCTCTAGCGAAAAATATGTAGAATCTAAATGGTACATGTGTAATCTACATGTTAGATGTAATAAAATGTAAATTTTAAATTTCTAAAAAATCATAAGCTCAAAAATGAATGTACTGACTGAGTATGGGTAAAGTAGAGTCGCGTCCCCAGAAGCGACTCACACGTTCCTTCTCGTTTTAGATTGTATAGTGGCTTTTAAAGCTTCTTTGAAACACTCTTTATAAGGTAAAAGTATTTTTTCCAACTCACTTAAGTCGTCTTTCGATGAGCGGATCAGAATTTATAAAGCACTAAAACTATTCGGTAAAACCAAAATTACTAAAAAAAGGAAATAAACAATGAAAAAAAACCATAATTGCTTAAAAAAATGTATTAGAAAAATTGTTTTTTGGTCACACCGGAAAAAAATTAAATTTTGTTTCCTAGTGTTATTACATCTGACAGCTCCGATTTGAGATTTCCCTTTTTCTACGCGCACCCCATGCGTAGTGTTGCATACAAAAAAACACTCACGCATAATTGACAAAAAAAAAAATACATTTCGATATTTTGCAATCGTGTAAGAACTATGTTTTGAGCGTGTTAAAAGGGGGAAAGGAGCTAATTTATAGCCGTGAAGAGGAAGTTCGTATTAAATAGTTCGTGTTAAGCGAGGGCCAGGTGTACATCATAAGCTCACAAGTTTATGTACTGAGTACGGGTATAAGAGTAGAGTCGCGTCCACAGAAGCGACTCACAACGTTCCTTCTCGTTTACCATTGAAGGCGTCGACGAAGAGATCCAAAGTATTTATAGTGCTGATTCAGCACACAAAACTCAATTTTGTTTCATATTATCTTCAAAGCACGAGGAAGCTTGCTATCAATGGCTGTAGACCTCAAACCAACTGCGCCAGTTTTTTAAATTTTTACAGATCTTAGGTAACACTACTCAACAAAATTGAACTTTTTCTATCCGCTGTGGACCAAAATTACTTTTTCTGATAGATTTCGGGATTAAAAAATTTTTTTAGTACTTTATTTTTTTTTAATGGTTTAATTTTTTTTAAAGAATTTTGAAAATCTTGTATTTTTTTCAGAGGTAGTGCTTCTGTTTTTCACATAACTCCGTATCTTATATCGGGTTGCATAGAACTTTGCAGTTCTGAGAAGCTGACAAATACAGCTAAAAATCCGAACCAGACACTTTGTATCTGCAGCTTAACGCCTGGAAGATATTAAGCTTTCAAATTCCAATTTCATAATTTTTTTGCGGTATTTTTTCACGAAATTTTGACTTTAAAAACTCGGGAAATGTCGAAAAAAAAAATAGTTCTTGGCCAAAATTTTTTGTTTTAGATATACGCATTAATTGGGCGTCGTTTAAGCTATTGCTCATCATCGTAGCAGGCGTTTCGCAGACCGGTACTCAGTTCCGAGAAAAAGCCATTCGATACATACTAGAAAAGCAACCGATGGTATTTTCCCATCTCGATCGGAACATTGAAAATTTTCATCTTCCGTCGTCTAATGACCTGACACAATAACACACACAACACACACACATTAAATATTCTGTCGCTCGACTCGACGCGGGTCGAGGCATTGACGAAGCCGAAAGCAGAGGCAAAGGCTAGCCTAGGTTAGGTTAGGTTGAAGCGGCTGTCGGGATTGTCAGAGACCCGACACACCTAGGCCGGTTTCGGCCCGTTGTGATACCGCATATTACGTTCCCTTCTCCTCGTGAGACCCTATGTTATCCATTATCCCATCCGGATGCCCTTATGAAGCCTGCGATCCGTCTGGGACTGATTGTAGACATGTCCGAAATGTCAGTTAGAAAAGGAGCGCCCAAGTATTTCAGTCTCCTTCTACTGAGAGCCGGACAGGAGCAGAACAGGTGTTCCACAGTCTCCTCCTCGTCCTCATCTCTACAGCTTCGACAGAAGTCGTTATATGGGGCGCCCAGCCTGCTTGCATGTGTGCCTATTAGCCAGTGTCCCGTGAGAGAGCGTATGACTGAGCTGCACCTACTCCTACTGAGTTGCAAAGCTCATCGGTGCGCTTCTTATTGATATTAGGCCATGTTTGCCGAGTTACGCGACATAGTGACACGGTTTGCCATCTGTCATTTATTAATCGCTTAAAGTGTTCTTTTATTTTGAGCTTGCAGGTGGCCATTGGCATACGAATATCCTCCTTATCATGGAGAAGGGGGATTGTTGTGCCAGCTCTGGCCAGCTCGTCCGCTATGCAGTTGCCTTCAATGTCCTGATGACCCGGGACCCATATTAGGCTGATGACGAACTGATAAGCCATCTCATGAAGAGATTTGCGACAGTTTGCCACGGTGGCCGAGCTTGATGTTATCGCATTCAGCGATTTGATCGCCGCTTGGCTATCACTATAGATATTTATATGAGTTGCCGCAGGGGCTATTTCCTGAAGACAGCTCAAAGCCTCCTTGATCGCTATGACTTCTGCTTGGAAGACACTGCAGTGATCCGGGAGCCTGAAGGACTGTCTTATGTTCAGCTGTTCGGAGTAGATTCCTCCTCCGACCTTGTTGTCCAGCTTTGAGCCATCAGTAAAGATTCGAATGGCTCCCTTTGGACCAGGTGGTCCCTCAAGCCAGATGTTTCTGTGAGGGATGATTGTCTCGAAGGGGTATCTGTATACTCCCTCGGAACGCAGTAGTCCGTTTTTGTGGGGACGATTTTGTTTCCATTTAGGATGGACGCATGACCGGTGTGATGTGACACCCATTGGTCAGAGTCTCTAAGACGGATTGCTGCCATTTCTGCCTGCTCCTTACCTGCAAGGTCAAGGCTCTGCAAGCATAGGATAGCATTTAGCGCATCCGTTGGTGTTGTGCTGAGAGCTCCACTGATGCATAGGGCTGCAGTGCGCTGCACCTTGCCCAGTTGTTTAGTGATGGTCCCCTTCGATAGGGCTGGCCACCACACTGCGACTCCGTAGAGTAGTATTGGTCTGACTATTGCCAGGTAAATCCATTGGACTATTCTTGGGTTCATGCCCCATTTGAGCCCAATGGCTTTCTTGCAAGTGTAGAGGGCTATCGTAG